TAAAATAAAATAAAATAAAAAATAAAATAAAATAAAATAAACTAAACTAAACTAAACTAAACTAAACTAAACTAAACTAAACTAAACTAAAATAAAATAAAATAAAACAATTGAACACGTGAACAAATGAACACATGAACAAATGAACACGTGCAATATATAAACACAAAAAAATTTGTTTAATATAATTTATATTTAAAATATGTAACTACAACAAATTACCCTTTTTTTTCTTGAAAGGTTACTCGTATAATAAAAATGAATTTTTGATTTGATTAGGCTACTTCTTTAAGTATGTTAAAGAGAGAATATTATAATATATAAAAGTCAGCTCGTCGTCGTATGCTGCACTTTCTCGACCCTTAACTTATTCTCTCCTCTAGTATCATGCTAGTGAGCATAATGGTTAAGACTGGTGCCGGTGATAATCGTCAAGACTCAAGGCACACGCACACACACACACACACACACACACACACACACACACACACACATACACATGAGTATGTATTTTGCAGGAACGACACGACGTGCGTAGATCGTTAAAGACATAATGCAGAGGCGTGGTCGCTACACCACCACCGATTCTAACATTTTTATTTGATTACGTCACGAAGAACATGAGAAGGAATTGTGCAGCAGTAAGATGCATCACGATGCATCGCGATGCATCGTAGCAAATTATTCGTATCACGGTGGAACTAATACCAATGGTTTTATATGAGATTATACGATGTCCGGTATTCATTCTCAAGTTGTAATCGAGTAAGTAATTCATTAATTTAACAGAATAATAGATTGTAATATTATTTTATACTAATTTAGTGTGTCTGTGTTTTAATAAAAATATTCATTAAAAAATTCATCTCATTACCAAACATTTTATTTATTGTTTTGTTTTGTTTTGAGCACATAATAAAACGTTTTGAGTATAAAGAAGACTTATGCAATTATTTAAATATATATATATACTAATTAATTATTTTGTTTATAGTTTTACATTTTGATAATATTTATTCTCGACAATTTGTAATATTTCCAGAGTCTCATACACATTTCTAATATTATGGAAAGCATAATAAAAGGAAGAGAGAATGATGTGTTAATTTATGAGATATTTAAAAAAATATAAATTTAATACTAGATTTAAACAATAATTTAAGTCAATCGATGAATACTTAAAAAGAACGATCATTTAATCATTCCTATTTCTATTATCTAAATAAACAAATAACAATAACAGTTTTCACACTTTATACACACATTTTTTGTCTATATAATTACAATTAAACACACACAAATTTAATAAAAAAAAAGAAATTAATAAATTACTATCAAATACATGTTTTATCGAAAAAACAATAAAGACAAAAGCAAAAAGCAATTTCAATTATAATCGAAATTTAATGAAATACAAAATCTCATTCGCTCGATCGGAACGAAAGATTCTCGAGTAGAAAAAAACCCCCCCAAAAAAAAGGAAAAGAAAAGTGTTAAAAGATCAAAGATCGATCAAGGTGAATCTAAAGTGAAAGATAGCCGATAAAAGACGAAAAGAAGAAGTAGAAGAAGTAGAAGAAGAAGAAGGTTGGTGTTCGTACTTTAGTTCGATGCTTGCTTCTTCAAAGCAAGCAAGCAAGCAAGCAAGCAAGCAAGCTTTCTTCCGCCACGGGTGGATATAATTAATGAATACCCCCTTTTGTTCAGGAACGGCCATCCATTTGAATCGAGTTTTTTAATGCAAGCGAAGCGTATGCTTTCCTCCTCTTTCCCTTTTCATGCATATTGCAGAACGAGTGTCGGTAATCCGAACTAAATGGAGTTTCTTCTCAGGTCTCATTCTCCTTTCCCCCACCACCACCCTTCTCCACCTCTTCCTTTTTCTCATCCCATCGGTCTACTTCGCAGTTTAAAGAATTTACAGTGCCCCCTCTACCCCCTTTCCCCAATCCCCTATCCCCCATTTGAAGTCGTTGACTGACTTAGCAATTACGTTAGCTGTGAAAACGGATATCGATTCGTCCCGAGGGCGCGTGAACGCGAAGAAAAGGATTTTTATCGTTCGACGCCCTTTTTTTTTCTTACTCTCCCCCTTCCAACCCTTCCCCTTCATTCATTCCTTCCTTCCTTCTCACTCTTTACCCACTCTTTTTCTCGAGATTTCTGTTTCTTTCTCTCTGTCTTTTATATATTTCGAATGCTTATAATTCGAAGATAAGGAAAATGTTTGAAAGAGAGTAAGAAAAATTTTAATTCTCGTCTTTTAGCACCTTTTTCTAAAAGCTTTATTCCATCGCAAAGTATTAGGGAACGGAAGGGAAAGTTCTTCTATTTCTTCTTACGTTAAAACCTTCTTCTTCTCATACTTTAGTACAATATCTCGTTGACGTATTTATGGGTAAGAAGAAACGTTAACGCTACCAGACATTTTCTTATTCCCCTCTTATTTTATTACATCACTACTACTACTACTACTATTACTATTGATACTGCTACTACTACTACAGCTACTTTGCAGAGGGGTGACGACCAACATGATATTTTTGGAAGCCATTGACGAGGTCGGGAACCCGATTTGTAGTACGTTATCTCTCGAGTGAAGACAAACGCCATAGCTGCTAGGAAGACTTATGGTTGTGTCCGACCGATTCACCGTCATCGACGTGTTAAGAAGCCTCTTCTTCTTCTCTTACCATTTCACTTACTCCTTACCCCTCCCCATCCCCTTCTTATTTTTTCTTTTTATATATATACACGCAGACGGTTTTAATTTATTCGACTCAACTCGTGTATCTCTTTCTTTATTTTTCTCTCTTTTTATTTTTTCTTGTTTTTTTTTCTCAACGAACACGCACAATCACGAGTCGGGAAAACGTGCTTGCATGTTCGTGATCTATCTGACGACAAGAGGCTTCCTTTTACATCATAAAATTCTCGAAAATAACATTGAAAATGTTCAATTCTTACAGGATTTAATGACAAACAATAATAGAAATAATAATCTAAACTTATTATTCGTTTATAATTATGATTTTATAATCACGATTCTTTATAATATATGAGCCGCTTATTTTGAAAGTGGCCTAACTCCATTTACCTTCAAATCGAGATATTCAAAGTTTTGCGTTTCAATGAATTTAAAAATATACGTACAGAATACCAATGAGTTATGCTGCTTAAGTGTATCTAAAGGTGTTAAATTTACAGTTCTTATTAAAATAATGGCAATTATTTAGTGAATAATATGCGTTTTCTTACCAAGAATGGAGTTAGACCACTTTCAAAATTAACAACCAGATTCTTTATAAAATTTGAAAGAACCAAAGTCCATTAAGCATAATTTAAGATGTTTCAAATTGAAAAAAACAATACTCATTTTATTTTACATATCTTTATAACACTTTAAAAACATAAATTAATGGATTCGAAACATTTTTTACAAACATAAATTACAAAACAATTTTCTATTCATCTACATTTTGTGTATGTGAAAGGGATTTAAAGAAATCGTGATAAGTCAATTATGTCCTTGAATTTTGCGGTTGTAATTTGTCTGATATTTTTATACAGTGATG